CCTCCCTCCTTCCCTTTTTTTTCTTTTGATTTGTCTTTTATTCTATGAAAAATTCTTAATAAGTATAAATTTAAAAAAAGAGAAAAGAAAAGGGCAAGGAGAAGTAGTCTCATCCACTAATGGCATTTGATTCTCACTGGATTACTTCTGAGGGAATATAATTGGCAGGCAAAAATAAAACTTCCTATCTTAGCCTACATGAAAGTCAAGTATGGGATCAGATTGATATAAAAATGCTGAGATTACATCAAGAGGTCAGCAAAATGTATTATATGTTCCCTTTTCCTTAGGCATTGCAGTGTGCAACATCCCGTCATCTTCTGTAGAAGAAACAGCTGATTCTACCCTCTGCCACATCTTGAACCTTTATCGTCGGGTTACATGGCTTCACCAGGCCATGCGAGAAGGAAACAGAGCCTCAAGTATGGAACAAATCAGAGAGGTGGCTGGTGGTGCTGTACGTATCCGTGGTGAGACCTTGGGCATCATTGGCCTTGGTAAGCAGTTAATGCTTTTTAGTAGTTCAGATAATGGTTTAGTGTGGTGAAACAGTCGAACATTGCAGTTTCTGTACTTCTCTCATGTGCCTGTTATCTTTCCTTCTTTAATGTTTTGAAGGAATTCATTGCTTTCCATTTAATCTGGTAGCAAAGATAGGATTTGTGCTTACGCTGCAAACCACAATTAGAAAGGCTCTTTGTTGAAGGTGAGAGGAAGATTGAATATATGAATCTAATCCTTCTTAACTATTTCTTAGAAATTTGATTGATAGATTACGTACCATCAAGTCAGTGTTGACTCTTAGCGGCCATGAAGATAGACTTTCTTCATGACTATCTGTACCTAACCTTGTCTTAGAAATTTGTCACACTTGAATTATTTTATTGAACAAGCTCTTCCAAGATAATGGAACCATTTTAAATAACATAATTCTTAATGTGCTAATGCTTAGATAATCAGAACAACAATATAATAGCTAACCCCTAAGAATGTCAGGTATACCCAAGTACTCAAATTCTTAGAATTCAGGAGAGGAGTACTGAATTGAATTGAACTGATTCAGGAATGGAATATTCTGTTCCCAAATCAGTGAATTTTGCCCATCTCTGGTGAGTAGGCTATTTAGGTCATTGTAGTTCAGTGACCAGACCATTTGTTCAGCGACCATTTGAAGTTATGCTGGTGCTGAAAAAGGAGACTTATGACCCGTCCTCTAAGTTGCAGCCATCCCAGCACTCCTGCGGTCACGTGATTGCGATCTGGGTGCTTGGCAACCAGTTCACACTTACTACTGGTTGCCAAGTGCTCCGTGATCACACGATCGCCATTTGCAACCTTCTCTGCTGGCTTCCGCCAAACAAAGTCAATGGGAAGCTGGCAAGGAAGGCCACAAGTCAGTGGGGTAAGTCTCCCACCCCCAGCCTTTCTTTGCTTGCACACACCACGCCCTCCTTCCCCCCTTTGCTCACAGACACCCTGTGCCCACTTTCCTCAGACTCCCTGCGCTCGCACACACTCATGTGCCCCGCGCCCTCTTTTCATGGTCTCCCTGCAATCGCACACAAGTACCCTGCACCCTCTTTCCATGGCCCCCCTGTGATCATACACAGGCACATACCCCATGCCCTCTTTCCTCGGCCTCCCTGCAATCACATGCAGCCTGCTCCCTCTTTCTTTGGCCTCCCTGTGATCACACACACCCCGTGCCCTGTTTCCACGGTCTCCCTGTGATCACATGCACCCTGTGCCCTCATTCCCCAGCCTTTCTGAGCTTGTGCCGCACCAAGTACCCCCTGACTACGCGCAGCCTCTCAGGGCCTCCCCCACCCCTCTGCGGCACCCCTGCGCTCTTTACCTGGGACTCCTTCCGCTTACCACTTAACAACCCACGCAGGTTACTACAATCAGGACTGCCTGGATTGCCCATCACTAAGCAATGTGGTCATGTGATGTCATGCTTTATGATCGCATCGCCTAGCAATGGCAGTCCCAGTCCCAATTGCAGTCGTAACCTAGGACTACCTGTAGAAGATGCTCTTTCATGGCAATGCTGTCATTAAAGTGGAGCAGGAGAATACTAGCTGTTATCTCCTAATAATTGTATTGCTTTTTTAAATAAATATGTTCTGATTCTTGGGCTCTACAAAAAATTCTGAAAATGGTTACCATAAAATCAAAATAAATGGTCACGTAATTAATTCTCTACTCCTTTCCATGGTTGACCTTCAGAATCATAACATAATACTGGCTCCTAGAAAAAAGTCCAATATATTTTTAATGATTAAATTGGAATGTCAGTTGCCGAATGACATGTCCACTAAGTGGTCTACCTACTAAAGTGCTTTGACTGGTGGTAGTTCTTTGAGGGCTCAGGCAGAGGTTCTTAATCAGTTGTGCTCCTTTAACAACCTCTTAACTTCTCTCCTAATATAAATAAAAATACCCAATTATTCACCCCATGCTGATGTTGGACAAGCAGTCTACAAGCTGCCACTCTGACTGAGTTTATACCTCATGCTAAGCCATAAACCATGGCTTATAAACCACTGATTGATTCATGAAAAACCAAGCAATCCATATAATAGTTCACACAGCAAGCTGCAATCACTCATGCTGCCTTAGATGAACATGTGTCCCTTATATAAAGTAAACTTCAGTCCTGCAAGAGCAGTGTTTGGCAGATACCTGCTATATATTGTCAACCATCAGTTTATGCTACCTTGCTATTGTCTATAATAAGGATGCAAAACCTGTGGTCCTCTTGGTATTGCTGAACCACAGTACATGGAAGTGCAGCTATTTAGATCTGAAGTGGCAAAAACCATTTTGGGTTTTAATATAGTTAAACTACAGTTCCAACACTTAGGAGGGCCATATTGAGGGATACTGAGCATAACATAGATTCTATTACTGAGTGATATAAAAATACAATAAATAGAATAATAGGGATGTGCAGCAATTCAGATCTGAAATAGGAAAGTTGCTTTGGATCTGGCATGGGTATCCTGACTGTAACCATCAGTGGCTTCTTAAAGAGGCTGTGCCTTTTCCTGGGTTCACACAGCAGCTACGTGTTAATGCCTCCTTAATGTAAATGCATATTTTCCTGGGACCATTTGGCAACTTTGAGAGCACCCATGCAGGATCTGAGGCACTTTTTGTGCCTCAGATCTGAATAGCTGCACGTCCCAACTGGACTGCAATTATTATTTCTATTTATTGTACTTTTATTTCTCTCGGTAACAAAAGCTCTGTTGTTCTCCGCATCCCTCACCATGGCTTCTCCTAGGAGATAGAACTGTAGTTCATTTCTGTATTAAAGCCCAAAATGTTGCCCCATTCATAAATGCACATCTATAATAAACAGAAATCCTCACAGACATAGGCAAAATATACCTGCACCACAGAAAAGCAAAAGCCTACAAGCACACAAGAAAAAATGGCAACAGTGTTACCTCAGAAAAATCAAATACCACCCCAATACAAACATCATTAAAGATCCCTAAATATATGCCCTCACCCCACCACAAACATTCAGGTAAGTTGTCCCACACCCCATGATTCCTACAAACATATAAAACTGTCCTTTACAGTGGCTAGAATATTGGGGATATGTCATGTGTACTGGCAGAAGAAATTGGAGGGAAAGCAAACTAAGCATTGGACAGCTTATGTTTACTTTGTCTGCATAGTTGTCTTTGGCCTGTTTGGCAAACTATGGCTAAAACAAATCCTTTCTTAGTATAATGCAGCATTTCTCAACCTATGCTGGCTAGGGAATTCTGGGAGTTGAAGTCCACATATCTTAACATTGCTAAGGTTGAGAAACACTGGTATAATGTGTCTTAGTATAATGTGTCTTATGCCGTGCTTAAGATTACCATATTTTCTTTTTCTTTTTTTAAGGCCGAATTGGGCAAGCAGTTGCCTTACGTGCAAAACCCTTTGGCTTCAACGTTATTTTTTATGACCCCTATTTGCCTGACGGAGTGGAGCGTTCCTTGGGATTACAGAGGATGGCCACCTTGCAAGATCTCCTAATGCACAGTGATTGCATCACATTACACTGCAGTCTAAATGAGCATAATCATCACCTCATCAATGACTTCACCATTAAACAGGTGCAGCTTCGCCCTGAGCTGATCATGCAAGTTATTGCTGTGCAGATTTCAGGAAAGTTGGGATTGTACAGACCTGAGTAGCTATTCTACTCAGCGTAGCTTCTTATAGAGTATATGAGACTCTGTGATTAGCGATTGCCTGTAATAGTTAAATTGGTTTTTAATCTGCATAGCACATTGCCATTTAACTAGCCGTGTTGCATTAGACAGTCGAGAACAACAACAGCTGGGTTCTCTTGATGGTGCTTCAGATTCTTTTCACGTTGTGCTCTTGCTTGTTTGCTGACATTTTAATTCTCCAGTTCAGTTTATACCAATTTAGTTTTCAGGCCATGATCTTGTTTCTCAGTCAGGATTCCTGAGAAGCAACGAAAGCTGGAATCAGTTTCACAGTAGTCTGTCTTCTCTCTTTTACCATGCAGAAGACAGTGAAAAGCAAAAGCTTCAAGGGTGATAAATTATGGCTTAGCTTTCCAGTATTTGTCCAGACTTTTGGATTGTACCCACATGGAAACCCCACTCCCTACATTTTACTCTTGTCTTCTTTCACCTTCCTTGCATGGAGAGAATGTGCCAGATGTGAGAGTTCGGTTGTTTTGAACGGAATATTATATTGTGCATAGATGTGCAAGAAGTCTCCTAGGTGCCTGTTCACATCAGGTTTTTAAAATTATTATTATAAGGGTAGTCACAGTATTAACCTCACTGGTCATTTATAGATTCCCAACCAGGAATCGGAATCAAGGCTCTAACTGAGAAGTCTTTGAAGTTGGAAGTTTAATTGTTCATTTGTTGAATAAAATAGAAAAAAGTACTTTTTTTCAATCAGCTTTAGCATACTTAGTCCTACAACATTTTACCCGCAGAAATAGTACTCATTTTTGTAAAAAAGGTGATGTGCTATGGCTAGATCCCTCAGTTTTACCCACATAATTTAGGAGTTTTGTCTATTTTCTCGGTTAAACTCTGTTTTTTGTAAGTCACCCAGAGTCCTCCATTGGGGGGAGATGGGTGGGGGAGAAATTTAATAAAATAAAATAAAACAAACAAACAAACCTAAGCATCTCAGAAGAATGGCACTATTTATGTTCACACATTGTGCTATTGTGTTGTTTCACAGAACACATTAAACCAAAACCAAACAATAGTGTAGTTTTAGTTCAGTGAATCTCCAAGTGTGGTCTGGGGACCCCTGGGGGTCCCTGAGACCCTTTCAGGGGGTCCACAAAGTCAACTAAATATTTTAACATTTCTCAGTTTTAATTTCTAATACAGTGCATATCAGTTGATATAACCCACCCACATAAACAAAAGCTCTTTAGGGTCCTCAGTCATTTTTAAGAATGTAAAGGGGTCCTGAGACCGAAATGTTTGAAAATCATTGGGTTAGTTCAATATATTAATGTAGCCAGTGGCACTCTAAAACTGGCCGCAGTCTTAGCAGAATCCTTGTAGCAGTTCTCCTAGCAATCCTCTGATACGTCATCATGTGGATAGGATCCTTGCTCATTTCATTAGTACAGATTAATGAAATGTTTCTGTCTTTTCATCACAGGATCATTATAAAATGTATTATCTGTTTTTCATAAGCCATTGCAAAAATGTACTTCATATAGTGCTATATGAGAGAGATTATTAACTTTTGAGGTAATAAGGACTTTACATTTCCGTGTAGTTAACATCAGAACATCTAGGAAGTAGAAATTACTCCTAGTCCAGCCCATTAGAAACACTTTCAGGAGAGATTTATGTTGCATTCTAGTTGAGCTAGATGTGATCATGGTTCTTAAATTTCTGAACAATCAGCTCTAACTACCATAATATGTTTTGGAGGCTATGTGTCTTTGTACATCACTTGAAGTTTGAGAATCTGCCCAGCATTTAATAACCTTAGTAGTAAGTAGATAAAGCAGAGGTGGTTACATGGGCGTACCAAGGCATGCCCATTACTGCTCCTGCTGCCACATTCTGGACCACATTTCTGTGTGGTCTTCATGGCAGCCCCATGTAGAGAGCATTTCAGTAGTCAAGCTGTGAGTTGACTAGGGCATGAAGGACTGTCTGAAGTACCCCCTGATCTAGGGAAGGGCACAACTGGTGCAAAGGTCTTCCTAGCTACAGCTGACACCTGCTCTTCAAGCAGGAGTTGTGAGTCCAGGAAGATCCCCAGATTGTGTGCCACCCTTGAAGGGGGAAGTGCAACCCCATCCAAGGTCAAAGATGGAATATCTCCAGGTCTGGGCAGTTCAAATACAGACAGCCACTTGGTCTTTGTATGATTGAGTGGGAGACAGTTTCTCCCCAGCCAAGCCCGTGCAGCCTCTAGGCACTGGGACAGAACTTCAACAGCCTCACTTGGCTGGCCCAGGCTTGAAATACAATTGGGTATCATCATCATACTGAATCCCAATCTGGCAGATGACCATACCCAGCAATTTCATGCAGATGTTGAAAAGGAAGGGAGAGAGAGTAGGACCCTGTGGAACCCCACACAGGAAGGGCCTAGGGATTGATCTCTCCACCCACAGCCAGATAAATTAGGAATCCTCAGAAGCCTTCTGCAACAGATTTTCAAGGCACAAATGCACACATAGGTCAAAACATGACACTGCTACTGGTACAAATCTGGTTGAGGCTTTCAGTTGGATGGCCTTGGCTTCAGTTGTATTCTTAAAAAGGTCCAGATAGCTACAACTTTTGCCCTTTTAGTTTGTGGTATTTAGCTGGAATGGTAGGATTGATTGATTGATGAAACTATGAAGTAGGTGATCCTTCTTTGATACTCAAGGATGCCCACAGCCTTCAAGGAACCTGTAATGGATCAACTTCTTTAAATAACAACATCATATTAGACCTTCAGGCTTATGATAAGTACAGGTAGTCCTCACTTAATGATGGTAATTGGGAGCGGAATTTCCGTTGCTAAGCAATACGGTTGTAAATTGCAACATCATGTGACTACACTGCTTAGCAATGGAAATTCCAGCACTTCCAGCTGCCATTGTTAAGCGAATCCCATACCATTGTTAAGTAGGACATCACACGGTCGCCATTTGTGACCTCCTGCCAGCTTCCCCATTGACTTTGCTTGTAGGAAGCTGGGAAATAGGTCACAAGTGGCAATCATGTGACTGCAGGATGCTGCAATGTTGTAATTGCAAGCCGAGCACCCAGATAATGGTCACATGACACTCTGACTGTTGTAGGTACAAGGACTGGTCAATACATAAGAGCAAATATGACAAGAGCTATCAATATAACATTCCAAATGCTCAGCAGAATAGTCAGGTTTTAAGGGATTTACAAAAGACAAGGAGGCTTGGGGTGTTCTCCATCTTGTGAGCAAGGTGTTCTACAACGTGGGAACAACTACAGAGAAGGCATGTTGCTAAGACCCCTGTCCCCCTCACTTCATGTGAAGTGGGTATTTTAGAATTTTTCCCTGGAAGAAGACACACAGAGTGGGCCAGATCTTGATGAGATAAATGAGATGGTATAATGGATTATAAGAACCCACTCTTGTCAGGAGAGAGAGTACATTGATTCTTCTGAGATTTTGGTGGTATATGATGCCATTGACTGGATATCTTATTAGATAACTACAGTACTCTACGTTGAGAAATGATTCTGTTCATAAGTGCAGAATTGTTTCTGAAAGGTGGTACTGAGTGGTTTTATGCTTGGTACCTGGTAGCTAGGCCAAAGGGTTCTGTTCAGCCTCTCATGGTTTTCAACTTCTGTATGAAGCTGCTGAGAGATCATTGAAAGAATTAGGGTGAGCTACTACCCAGTTTTGTTTTTTATTGTCATTTGAGTTATAGAAACCCACATAAGTGCTGTTTTTGAAGACAGTAGTAGGTTGCGTGGGGCAGTAAGTTTGAACTTAATTCTAATGACAGATGTCATTAGACATCTCTGGCAGGTAATTTTCAGATCGAAGAAGTAGGTAGGTAATCTATTCTGAATGGGATTGCACTTCTCTTAAAAGAGAAGGTGTACAGTCAGGTCCAGAAATATTGGGACATCGACACAATTCTAACATCTTTGGCTCTATACACCACCACAATGGATTTGGAATGAAACAAACATTCTAACATCTTTGGCTCTATACACCACCACAATGGATTTGGAATGAAACAAACATTCTAACATCTTTGGCTCTATACACCACCACAATGGATTTGGAATGAAACAAACACAATGTGCTTTAACTGCAGACTGTCAGCTTTAATTTGAGGGTATGTACATCCAACGCAGGTGAACGGTGTAGGAATTACAACAGTTTGCATATGTGCCTCCCACTTGTTAAGGGACCAAAAGTAATGGGACAGTATAATAATCATAAATCATACTTTCCCTTTTTAATACTTGGTTGCAAATCAGTTGCAGTCAATCACAGCCTGAAGCCTGGAACGCATAGACATCACTAGACGCTGGGTTTCA